CTCCTTATGAGACAGGTTCTCTTATATGTATACGAAGTTGGGGTTGGCTTGATTTGATTAAATTCCATATTGTCTTAGTTTCAGTTGGTTATACTTAGCAGGTTTGTATGTGGGTGTCCAAAACGGGCACTAGTCACGGCCCATCGGGTTGGGTCGTGACAACTAAGCCTAGTACTTACTAGTTTAGATATAATCTTACTAGTGAAGTTACTCAGACTGATAGGTCTAAACTCCGTAAATTTGTTTGGATTCTTAACTTTAGGGAGCAAAACAATGCAAGAATTAGAGAAGTACTTAGTAATCATATGACCACTGAAGAATGCATGTAGTACTTCCATCAGATCATCCTTGATGATATTCCAACATTTTTGGAAAAAATACCCGTTCATACCATCCGGACCAGCTGCAGAGTTAGGGTTCATGGAGAAAACTACTTCTTTAATCTCTTCCAAATCTGGTAGCTTTGTAAGCTGAGTATTTTGATTTTGATTGACCATTCGAGGGATGCAATCCAGATTATTCTCATTGATAAACTTGTTTTCTCCTGCGAAAATGTTATTGAAATGCTCACAAGCCTCTCTGGCAATATTGTTTTCACCATGGACCCAATCCCGTTTCTCAGTAACAATTTTGTGGATGAACAGTCTCCTCCTCCTCCCCCTTATAATGGAGTGGAAATATTTAGAATTAGTGTCACCATCTTTAAACCACTGAAGCTGGGTTTTCTGTTTCAAGATATTGTCCTCAAGTTTAAGAAACTTGATATATTGTGCATTGAGTTCATGGAGAATACTTCTATTGGAATCATTTTGGTCAAGGATGTACTTCTCTTCCGCATCATGTACTTGTTCCTCATACATCTTAACCTTTTGGAAGATATCCCCAAACTCATTCCTAGACCAACCACTAAGAGTAGTAGCTAATCTTTTCATTTTTTGGTGAAATTTCCACATAGCATTACCCTCCACCTGTCTATCCCAGCAATTTTTAACAGTAACCATAAAGCTGGGATTATCAACCCAACAGTTAAGGAATTTGAAATACTTAATATGATCTGTTTCCTTGGATACCATTTCCAACAGCAAAGGACAATGATCTGACCCTGTAGTTGATAAATGAGTTATAGTGGTTTGAGGCATCTTTTCTAACCATGAATTATTCACCAAGGCTCTATCTAGTCTCTTCCAGATTCTGTGATTAATACCCCTTCTGTTGGACCAAGTAAATTTGTGGCCACTGAAACCTATGTCTACCAAGCCACAGGCTTCAATGACAGCAATAAAGTCCATACTCTTTTTCATGTTATAAGGTAAACCTCCCAGCTTCTCCTCCACATCTGATATAACATTATAATCTCCCACTGCACACCAGGGATTGATGTTAATTGAGGCCTGTTGAAGCAATTTGTCCCATAGAGGTCTCCTTAGATAACCTTTGCACTTAGCATAAATAAATGTACTAGTAAATTGGTATTGTAACTCATTGTGTTTCATGTTACAAGTGATTTTCTTCATCAAGAATATTACAGTCAACATCATTGTTCCAAAAAACCCAAATCTTACTATTACAATTACTAGTAGCATTTTCCATATTCAATTGCACTTTGAAGCTTTGGATGTTAATACTGTCAGAGAAAGGTTCTAAAATAGCAATAACAGACAATTGATGTAACTTCCTTAGCATTTTGAGTCTTTCCAACACTCCTTGAGTGTTAATCCCCCTGACATTCCAAATGATTGAACTAATCATTGGGAAGATTTAGAAGAAAATAATCTGGTGTTAGGTCTGCCAGCAGTGACTGTGTTGGCATCTTGCTTAGTGAAATGGAATCTATTTTGTTGAAAGCTTCTAGGGGACAGAGTTTGATTTTTGGTAACTGTTTGGATTTCATCCTCTAGAGAGTGATCTTTGTAAGGGCTAAAGGCTCTAATAAGAGCCTCACTAGTCTCATCATTATCCTCATACTCATCAAGAGATTGACTGTCACCCTCAAGTTCATCTTCAGAATTAATAACAGCATACTCATCCAAGACTGATTTAGGATTCAATTTTCCCTCTTGTTGCTTTTTTCCAGTCTTGTCTGAATTGTGAGGAGTCATATACTGGATTTGTAGGGGAGGAATATCTAGACCTTGATTATCATCCACCATAAAAAACTTATTGCAAGATTCCTCCCTTACTTCTTGTTCATACACACTCTCCTTATCCTGTTGCCTATTTTGTCTCCTTTTTTCAGCATCCCTCTTTTGTTTACTAGGCTTGTTTTTACTCTTAGGAGTATTTCCCATATCCTTATTGTCACCCTGTTTCCCCTGTTCCTCACCCTCCTTATTCCTGTGTTGCTGTTGCCCCTTATTTTCATTGGCAGGCTGCTCCCAGTTTCCAGTGTTTTGGTTTTGTTGCTGTGATTGTTGCTTCTGCTGTTTCAGATCATGTTCTTGATTCCTAAAGGCTCTAAGGTCAGTCCTATGGTCATGATCCAACCCCTCATGCATAGCATGAGGCAAATTCCCCCCTTTGGTAACCCCATCCTCTAAATTAGTGGTTTTCTCCTTACTCCCCCCATCCATACCTCCATAGACTTCTTCAGTATGACCAGCCATAACATTAAAATCATTGGGGGTTCTGGGGCTTGGGAGAGATAAGTCAATACCTGATTCCTTGCATTTATTGCCAGCAGCAGCCTTCAGCTTTGGTATCTGCAGGTTATTTTGCTTATTTTCAGCAAGTTGATCCTTCAATTGGTCATTTTTGGTGTGATCTTCCTGACTTGCTGTTTCTCTAGTTCCCTGCTGAACCATGTGTTGTGCCTCCTGTTTTTCCTGCATTTCAAGAGAAGAAAAATTATTTTGAGTTGAAATTATATTATTACCTGTGATCCCTTGTTCTTGTTGTTGGCTGTTGTTTGTATGATGCATGACTGTTGTAACAGGTCTCCACACTGATTTGGAGCTAGCATGTTCCTGATTTTTGTGATTTCTTTTCTTCTGTGTTTGCCACTGTTCTCCTTGCTGTTCCTCTTGCTGGATTTTGTCATCTTGTTTTTGCATTTCATGCCTTTGTTGTTGGTTTGTCACATGCTCCTTTGATTGGTTCTGTTCCTCACTTTTCTTCTGCCCTTCCTTCTGCATTTTATTTGGCTGGTTGAATGTTTTTGTTGTCTCATCTTTAGCATTTTTTCCTTGTTCCTGAGCTTTTCCATCTCCTTTCTCTTTGCTGATTTTTCCTCCATCCATATCTTTTCTTTTCTGCATTTCCTCATCTCTTTTTTTATTGTACAAACTTCATCTTGTGTCCTTGATGCCTGCAGTAAAAACAATAACTAGGAATGCCTTCATATTCCACTTTTAACCATCTTCCCTTGTTAGGATTTGAGTTTTTAAATCCCAACCACACATGCGAAGGTCTTTCTTTTGTAAGGTCTACTTGGACTTTGACTCTAGTGGTACTACCTCTAGTTCTTTGAGCTGTGGGTGAGTCCAAGAAAAGTACCTTCCCAATACTCTCCAATATGGTTGATAGAAAGACCTTGTTGTAACAGTGCCAAGGTAGACCTGGTATAGACACCCAAATAGGTACTATTGGTGTTTCCTCTTCAGGTGTGAAATCCGGGGTCCATGCTTGTATTCTCATGGCCTGGCCCTCTATGTTCATTTTCAACTTAGTCCACACAGTTTGGTAATCTAATTCATTATCCAAATCAATGTATACGTGCCTTGAATTGAAATGAGTGATCTTGACCCCCCCCCCCATCAATTTAGTTTGTAAAATAAAGCTTTTCCGCACTTGTTCCATTCTAGGCATGGTGTTAGTAAATTTACCCACCAATGTAAACTTACAAATTTCAGCCAACTTAACATAATAATCATTTTCTTCAATCAAAACAGCAGGAAGACCCTGTCTAGTCATATGAACAGGTTCATTTAAGCAAATAGGGATTTCATTTTTGTTTTGGTTGTATCTCAGTCTGGCAGCAAACGATTGAACAACTGTATAGGGTTAGGGTTAGGGTTTGGGTTAATGTTAGGGGTAGAGTTTATGTTTTTTTTAAAAGTTTTTACGGTTTGTGGTTTGGGATTTGAGGTTTAAAATCTATGGTTTAGTGTTTAATGTTTGGATTTTCATATTTTGGACTTAGTGTTTAGGGTTAGGGTAAGGGTATTTTTTTTATGTTTTATGGTTTAGGGTTTAAGTATTTGAGGTTTAAAATATATGGTTTTGTATTTAATGTTCGGATTTTGGTATTTTGGGCATAGGTTTTGGGATTATGGTTTAGGGTTAAGGTTAGGTTTAGGGTTAGAGTTAATGTTAGGGTTAGGATTCGGGCTTAGGTTGTTTTTAGGTTTTAGGATTTGAGCTGTAATATCTTTGTTTAGTGTTTAGTGCTAGGGTTTTGGTGTTTTGGGATTTGGTTTAAGGGTTTAGGTTTAGTGTTAGGGTTAAGGATAGGTTTAGGGTTAGGGTTAAGGTTCATGTTAGGGATAGGGTTAGGATTTAGGGTTTTTTTAGGTTTTAGATGTTGGGGTGTAGAATTTTTTGTTTAAAATCTACAGTTTATTATTTAATGTTTGGGTTTTGGTATTTTAGGCTTTGGTTTCGGGTTTATGGTTAAGGGTTACAGTTATGGTTAGAGTTTTGGATTTTTTTTAGGTTAACTTCAATGATTTAGTGCTTAGTGTTTGGGTTTTGGTATTTTGGGCTTGGGGTTTAGGGTTTATGGTAGGGTTAGGGTTAATGTTAGGGTTAGGGTCATGGTTTAGG